CCAGGATCAGGAAACAGTCCTCCATAAAATGTGCTGCACACATCTGAATATTTGGTTTGAACTGTTCTGGAACAGTGTTGTAAATACAAACTTAACCACTGATTTATAGTCGCGTCCTCTTTTGGAAGGCCACAGCACAGCATTGACACACGGCGCGCTTGAGTGAGCGGAGGCCGGTGGCTTGAGTGAGGAACAGCTGGCGGATTCGACGAAGGAGCGTCCGGCGGGCTTGCGGCAACCACATGTGACAACCCCAGGCTGGACTCCGCTTTGTCCACGGTGAAAGCCGATCCGGCGATCCACAGCGCCTTCACGACATGGCGGCAGCAACAATACTACAGCGAGAATAAAAGTTACGCCTTCTTTCTTTGCGTGAACATTTGGGTGGTGTTATGCAAATCTTCCCACATCGTGACGTAGACGTGGGGATGTGTTAGAACGAGCTGTTTTAGGTAGGCGTGGTTGACTCTTAACTTTTATAAAGAATATCTCTTTGGATTTGAGACTTTAGTCTTTGCAACTTTACAGATCTTCTTTATGCCCCAAGAGCTTGTAACACTCCAAAGATAAAGGAAAAATTGAAATCGCATCATATGACCCCTTTAAAAATATACTGTATCTAAATTACGACTTATGCTCTCAATGTCAAATGCAGAAACATTCATTCATGCATTCATTCATGCGTTCCTCAAGGTTAGATTTTATTGTAATGCTTTATTGCGTGGTTGCTCTGTGTGCTTAATAAACAAACTGCAGAAACTAGAGTTCTTACTAGAACCAGAATGTATGACCATATTAGCCCGGTTCTGTCAACACTGCACTGGCGCCCTATTAAACATCATATACATTTTAAAATCTTGTTAATTACATAAAGCCCTGAATGGTTTAGCTCCTCAGTACTTGAGCGAGCTCATATCGCAAAATAGTCCTTCACGTCTGCTGCGATCTCAAAACCTCTTTGATAATACCTACACTGTAAAATAATGATCGTGATTTTAACGGTAAAAGACTGTAAAAATGCTACAGCAAAAACCTATTAATTGGTTAACGGTAAGTTCCCCTACTCTATACAGTGAAAAACTGTATTGGTCATTTCATGTAATTATATGGTAAAATACCGTTTTTGGAAGTGAAAAGGAATGTATAATTTACAGCGAAAAACGTAAATTGACATTCCCAAAATTCCCTGCGTTACATTTCAAATTTGTTACAATTTAAACAAATTTTGGTAACAACAGTTTCTCCAATATATTAAAATTCAGTCAGTATCGAATTAAACACTGTTGAGAGTTTAAAGTAAAAAGACTTACTTAAGTATGCCATTGGGTCCTGTGTAAACCTCAATGACGTTGGGGCTGGACGGTAGCATGGTGATGATGCGGTCAGCTTTATCAGCCACTTCAGCAGGGCAATCCAGGATCTGGAAGGACAAGCAAGGGCAATTATTTCCACAGGCTTGTACAGTCTACACGAAGGAAAGAAGGTTTTGTTTTGAGCACATTGTTTGAGAAACAGATACTTATACCTGTGCTCCTGAGTCCTGAAACTCCTTGCAAGACTCTGGGAAGACATCAGTAGCAATGACAGGATATCCATGCTTTAGTAAGTTTCTAGCCATAGGTGTCCCCATGTTACCCAGTCCAATAAAACCCACTGGGGTCTTGGAAGCCATTGATCTGGAGGATACTGAAAAACCACACACAGACAGAAATCATAAATTACATTAAAATAAAATCCTACCTATAGAAACCGAAAGCTATTATAGTCAAAGAGTGCACCAAAACTGCCAGTGGATTTTTTTTTTAGCCTTTCATGTCTATAAAATAGTAAATATGTGAGAGAGAAATGAAATATGTGAGCTTACAGGAGCAGTTCTGTAAAAATCAATGTCGGTATAACACACTGAGCCCTATTAAGAAGTCTTTGCAAGATTTTTTAACCCTCATTATAAATTGTTTATAAAGACCTTCATATCCTTACAGATACAGATGTTTAAAGGAAAACTCTGATATAGACAAAATAAACATTTATTTTGCTTAAAACGACTAAATGAGGAGACAAAAAGCTTAAGTCCATTATCTGAACTTGGTGAGAAGGCTGACGGGATGTCTTTAATTTGATAACACAATTTATTAAATTTTTTATCTTATAGTTTGCAGTTTAAAAAAACCTTTGAACTAACGTTACATTGTAACCTGTGAGCTCCTAAACCCCAGCTGCATTGCACAACCTACATTTCTGATCCTCAAAAAGTAAACAGTGACTTGCTTATTGTGCATAATGTCTGTTCATATGCTTTGACATATAACCTATGTCCAAGAATATTTCATATATGTTCACATATTTTGCAGATTGACAAACAGATGCAAAAACAACATTTCCAAACTGCTCTTTGCAATAACATTAGCGGCGCTTTAATCCCCTTGGTCTGTCAATTAATAATTAATGAGGAAACAACATACCCAAAGTGAGCTCCACATGTTTATGGCTTCTTTTATAAAAATTCCGACACCCTCTAAACAAAGCGGCCATGCTTTTTTTCTCTTGACCTCAGCGCCTCATTGACAGTACGAGTCAGGAACTCAGGGGGCGGGTCCTATGATTGACAGCACCATTCCTCCAATCACTGATAAGGATTTGCGTACCGTCAGTGAGATATCATGCAGTTACTGCTGTGATTTCTTTGAATAGAATTAAGGCGATACTTCTTAAAAGATTAAGAATGGCTAGACGTGTTAGGCTTCTGAGTGAACTTATGACCGTGTTGTCCAAATCCAATAGTGACAGTTTGTGCTAAAATCTCTTCCTTATTCTAGATACTACTAAACATACACGAATATTTTCAATAACAAAAGGTGTGGGAACTATTATTTATATGCAAGAGCCCCCATATCAATGTCATAAGCATATTTTATATACATATTTGATATACACAGATCTAGACATATTATACACTTTTGATATAATTTGCTAAGAAGTTTTAACTAATCTTATTTCACTCTTAACATAATAAATGATCAAACGTTTCATAAAACAATTAGATACATACTACAACCATACTACAACTATAAACGTCTTGAGTAACGCTTGGCATTTTTCCACAATTTCCATGTATGTTTTGATGAAGCGGACTGAGTCAGACTGAAACGATTCGAACGCAATCAGTAAACCGATATAACAGTGGAGTATTTTTTGAACCGATTCTTGTTCGAGAGAACCGATTCTCTGAAAAGAATCAAAATTCCCATCTCTATTTTGCTGGGTTATTCAGTAACCAATGGTAAGACACGGATCTCGGTGACTAGAGTAAATAAACCAATCACAGGGCGCAACCGACCGGAAGTGGCATAACGTTCCTAGATTCCCAAAACATGTTGACACCCGGTTCAGCTACATGACAGAGACGCGCTCAATCTGCGTTGTCTAACAATCTAAACTACAAGAGTTACAGGTCTTCAAGTAAACATGGATTACAGGTATAACGGACTTCTTGAGCGACGACTATAATATATATATACTGTTAATCTTGGAAATATATGTTGGAATTGCATGCGGTCCATCTCGATGTGTTTAGGGGTGGGATTGCAGTGGGATTAATAAAACTCATCAGCAGGCCACCGGCAGTAATTTACGTCGTATAATATATAGACAAATGCTATATCATCTAGTATACTTGTAGCTATGATTACAATCCGCAATGACTTGTTAGTTAGCAACATGATGCAAGTGAAATCTAGAAAGTCGCTTTCGGTTTAAGCAAACATGTTTACTATGATTAAGAAGGAATGTTATGTTTTAAACCATCATATAGTGAGTTCAGTGCGAAGATGTCATTTGCTGTATTGAATCGAGCTGTCATTGACGTTAAAGGCCTGAACAGGGATGACTATACCATCAGCAGTGCCATGCATACAGGCCTACTCGGCATCGCCCCATCTGGCCTGATATAGGGCAGGTCTTCTTCATGCAGATGCACACGGGCTTAAACCAAATGTATGTCAGCTCAGATATATTTAAGCATCTAAATAACATTTTAATGCAGTAGAATGACCTATAGTTTATTGTGAATTATGCATTGCTTAAACACCATCATGCAAAGTGGCTGTCACTTTTTATCATTAAATATTAAAAAATTTAAATTAACATTTTAGGAATTAAAATGAATTAGGAGAGACTTATAATGCAAGGTGTTATGTAAGCTTTTGGAATACTTGATTCTGATTGGTTAATTTTTAAATAATTTCAGGGCCATATTGTGTAATTGACCTTTCATTCTGTAAAAGGAATGTTTTCTACATAGCTATGTTGGTGTTATGGCTCTCTGAGGTCTCTGAAAATAAGATAAAAATCATTTTAAATAACTTTTATTTATTTGGTAAGTAGCGGAGTAATAATGCAGAATAATTAAAAATTCATTCACAGTGATACAAGTTAGGGTTAATTTTGTAATAATGACCATCGGACTGAACTATATCCCTTGCCTATATTATGAAAGAGAAAATGCGTCAGTTAAACCTCATTATTTCTTTGTAATTTTCGTTCCTTCTTGTTTCAGGTAGACCAATCACAGGCGTTCCTTGAGCACTTTTGATGTCGTCAGCCTGTAATACGGGAGCATCTGCTGGTGGAGGAGGAAGTGTTGTCATGGAGACGTCTAACTTCGCCCATGTCATCTTCCAGAATGTTGGGAAAAGCTTCCTCCCGCAGGCAGCGCTTGAATGTCATTACACTCTCACCCCCTTCCTCACCCCACATCCCAAAGACTGGGTTGGCATCTTTAAGGTTGGTACAAGTCTACATGACAGAGACGCGCTCAATCTGCGTTGTCTAACAATCTAAACTACAAGAGTTACAGGTCTTCAAGTAAACATGGATTACAGGTATAACGGACTTCTTGAGCGACGACTATAATATATATATACTGTTAATCTTGGAAATATATGTTGGAATTGCATGCGGTCCATCTCGATGTGTTTAGGGGTGGGATTGCAGTGGGATTAATAAAACTCATCAGCAGGCCACCGGCAGTAATTTACGTCGTATAATATATAGACAAATGCTATATCATCTAGTATACTTGTAGCTATGATTACAATCCGCAATGACTTGTTAGTTAGCAACATGATGCAAGTGAAATCTAGAAAGTCGCTTTCGGTTTAAGCAAACATGTTTACTATGATTAAGAAGGAATGTTATGTTTTAAACCATCATATAGTGAGTTCAGTGCGAAGATGTCATTTGCTGTATTGAATCGAGCTGTCATTGACGTTAAAGGCCTGAACAGGGATGACTATACCATCAGCAGTGCCATGCATACAGGCCTACTCGGCATCGCCCCATCTGGCCTGATATAGGGCAGGTCTTCTTCATGCAGATGCACACGGGCTTAAACCAAATGTATGTCAGCTCAGATATATTTAAGCATCTAAATAACATTTTAATGCAGTAGAATGACCTATAGTTTATTGTGAATTATGCATTGCTTAAACACCATCATGCAAAGTGGCTGTCACTTTTTATCATTAAATATTAAAAAATTTAAATTAACATTTTAGGAATTAAAATGAATTAGGAGAGACTTATAATGCAAGGTGTTATGTAAGCTTTTGGAATACTTGATTCTGATTGGTTAATTTTTAAATAATTTCAGGGCCATATTGTGTAATTGACCTTTCATTCTGTAAAAGGAATGTTTTCTACATAGCTATGTTGGTGTTATGGCTCTCTGAGGTCTCTGAAAATAAGATAAAAATCATTTTAAATAACTTTTATTTATTTGGTAAGTAGCGGAGTAATAATGCAGAATAATTAAAAATTCATTCACAGTGATACAAGTCCCTGTTAGGGTTAATTTTGTAATAATGACCATCGGACTGAACTATATCCCTTGCCTATATTATGAAAGAGAAAATGCGTCAGTTAAACCTCATTATTTCTTTGTAATTTTCATTCCTTCTTGTTTCAGGTAGACCAATCACAGGCGTTCCTTGAGCACTTTTGATGTCGTCAGCCTGTAATACGGGAGCATCTGCTGGTGGAGGAGGAAGTGTTGTCATGGAGACGTCTAACTTCGCCCATGTCATCTTCCAGAATGTTGGGAAAAGCTTCCTCCCGCAGGCAGCGCTTGAATGTCATTACACTCTCACCCCCTTCCTCACCCCACATCCCAAAGACTGGGTTGGCATCTTTAAGGTTGGTACAAGTTACATATTTCACCAATATCTGATCTGTGCAGGGCCTACAATATTTAGGCTTTCATACACAGAAATGCTTTTTGTAAGAAAATTATATACATTTAATTTAATCTCACTTTCTTTTCTCTCTTTTTTCAATTTAATCTCGCACTTAATCAAGAGGAAATGAGCGCACGGAAACTTTTCATCTTGTTAAGATACAATGACAGTTTATGACTGGTATAAAAGGCACTTCAAATTAACCAGATCTTTCCAGACAGCATTTAGAGTGGTGGGTTGCAGGGGAAAATGTGGATTGGAAAAAATATGGTTAATCCACTCAATATCACTCTTGTTTTGATGGTTAGTTTACGGGGAATAGAGTTCCGGTGTGTGTGTGTGTTTGATCACATGTGCTGTTATGCTGGATGCTGTGGGTGTTTCCCATGACAAATTATTCCTTCCTTATGCTTTTGCTTTAGTATGTTCTCCTTTCATCCTTGCAACTTCAATAAGATGTAGTGTAATAACATATATTAGCTGCTATATGTAATGCATTACTGGATAATAGTAGTCACACTTATAAATGGATGGATGTATTCAGACAATATCTATGGACTGGCAATTCATTATCAATGATGTAATGTGGGAATTATTCTTCAGGCACTCACACACACTTACACACACCTTAGCCTGTGCTTTATATTACTTAGTGAACCACAGGCTCCCTCTGGTGGTATTGAGAAAGTACTACTCCTTCAAGACAGCAATGAGTTGCATAATAGTTTAGCAATTACTTACATTTTCTATGTGCAGGTGTTTTTTTAACTCAACTAAAATAAAAATAAAAATAAAGTAAAACTTCTTATTTAAAGTGCGAAACTTAATTTCACTTTTTGTATTAAAAGTTGTTGTTTATATTTGAATAATTGTACTTTATTACTCTTTTTATTTGTAAAGTCCTACAAATATTTAGTTGCAGCTTTTTAATTTGTATTTGCAATGTCCCTTTTTATTTAAAGTGCAAAATTTCAGTTTTAAATAATTTAATTTAATATTTATATTAAATGTTATTAATTATATATAAATACTTGTATTTTATCTTTTTATTTGTAAAGTTCTACATATGAAGAGTTCATTTGCAAAAACCGATAAACGCCACTTTAAAAAAAATGAGCTGATTGCCGTGCATTATTCTCCACATATAGCGCGATCTGAACCCTAAACACGTTTTGTCAAAAAAAAGTCGGTTTTGTCCACTTTCAAGGCATCGCGAGTTCACGTTTTATTACTGTAAAAGCCGACAAGCACCCTCATTGTTTTTGAACAGAAGCCGATAAATCAGTTTTAGCGAATCAGCGCGCTGTATTCAGGTCAGGTGACAAGGCTACTTTCACTTTGAAAAGACATGCTAGCTGAGAGGAGTTTCGTCAAAGCTGACTAAAAGTGATCGAGGATGGATAATTTCGACGAAAGGAGTTATCTGCTTTTGCCAAAAAAAATCGACTGTTGGAGTTTTTATTTTATTTTATTATTATGCAAAAAGTATACAAAGATTTGTACAAACATATATAACTCGCAGCAAGTACAAAAACAAATAAACAATCATATGTAAAGTGAAACAATTCAAGCCAGGGTTAAAATTACAACAATTTAGGAGAGGAGTTATCTGCTTTTGCCAAAAAAAATCGACTGTTGGAGTTTTTTTTTTATTTTTTATTATTATGCAAAAAGTATACAAAGATTTGTACAAACATATACAACTCGCAGCAAGTACAAAAACAAATAAACAATCATAATATGTAAAGTGAAACAATTCAAGCCAGGGTTAAAATTACAACAATTTAGGAGTTATCTGCTTTTGCTATAAAACAAACTTTTAATATGTAAAAAAACATACTTTCAGTGAACTTTAATTTTGTAAATTACCTGTATTTGTTTGTTATTATTTCTTAATCAAAACAACCCAACTGCAGTTTGATTGATATTACTTGGACTGCGCAATAAAAAACGTGATTTCTGAAAAGTGTTACGTTATCGGTTTTTGCAAATTAACTCTTCATATATTTAGCTGTAGCTTTTTTTTGTACATGCAGTACCCCTGTGTAAAAAAACAAACAAAACTAAAACTAAAAAAGCAGTCACCACCAGTTAAACAATAACAACGGTATGCCCGCGAGCATGAGCTCTTGAAGCTCCGCACTCTTCTGAAAAGGGAGGCGGGAGCACCAGCTCATTTTCATTTAAAGGGGACAAACACAAAAAACAGCACGTTTTGGCTCATACCCTAAAAGTGGCAATTTCAACAAGCTATAAAAAATTATCTGTGGGGTATTTTGAGAAAAAAACTTCACATACACACTCTGGGGACATCAGAGAACAATTTAAAATATTGTATCAATGCATTCTATGGCCCCTTTAAGGTTTATTCAAAAATTCATATGTCTGCATGTGCATGTTTAATATGACCTTTACAATGTTCAGTAATCTGAATGCCCCCTCAAAATAAAAAGTGGACAATGCATAATGTATGACGACATGACATCATGCATTCAATGTCGCTGGTGGCATGAACAGGATATATGGCTGCAAATTATGCCATAAAATCATAAATGTTGATCATTTCCCTTTATGTTGTAGTTGTGATTATAAATTTGAATCAGCAGAACTTACATTAAAATACTTATTTTGTGTGGGGACCCTCACTATGACATCACAGTTACAATGTTCACTGCAAAAAATATTACATAGAAAATTGTGTAATTTGAGACCTAAATGGAGTGCTGTAATCAGCCCATTATGGAGAGGGTTGTGTGGACTAAAATCTTGGATGTTTGTTGACATCAGTGACGTAATGCTATGAGACTCTGGGTAACTATATAAGTCCCTCACTGAAAACACTGTGATTTCAGTTCCAGTAAAAACTCACTAAAATTATGATGTTCCTCCAAGACAGCTCTGTCCCAAAGCTGAAATACCAAGTGCTTCCATGAAAACAGTTACTTACACCATAAGGTCTAAATCATGCTTGTAGGCCTCATTATACTTAAATAATTAAGATTAATAAATAAATTATTTTATTTTAAATTATGTAATTAACGTAAGTGTATTGTCTGGTGCATATCTTAACATAGAAAAAAGAGATTTAATTTTATGCAAGAGGAAACAGGTTTCATGAGGGCTAAAAGAAAGTCAGCCTCTCTAGAGAAAGTGCTTGATAAATCATAGGCAGTCTCTAAAAAAAAAAAAAAAAAGGCTTTTTAAGTTTGCCGGGTGAATATACATAGTACTCTTTATCAAAGGAGTATGTTGAGGCACGTTGAAAACAGGCTACCTTTAAGCAATGCTAAAAAAATGCTGTGTAGTCATGCATATACACATACATACAGTTTTTGCACACACACACACCGACAGACAAGTACTATATAATTAAGTTGTCGCACACATTCCAAACATGTTCTTATGCACCTGATTTATAGTAACGTCAGCCCTCTTATTATTTAATTTATAATTTATCAGTCCTGTATGTACAAGCATGGCTTGTTTGAAACACACTTGGATGCCTTCTCTCTTTCTCTTTCCTCTTGCTCTCGTCTTTTCTTCTCTCCTCTGTAATTAATAGGTGATTTCTTCACAGATGACTGCATTCCAGATGAAAGCAGAATACTTTCCATAAAAAAGGAGATTACAGATGTGATATATTTTAATCAAAGTAAATGTCAGGTAGTCCTGTGAAAAATCACAATGACAAATTGCTGAGAGTGTGTGTTTCTTGTTTGTAACTGTAAGATGAAACCATATGTGGCATGTTTATGATGGTGGACTACATTCTCTACTTCATTTCCATCATATTTCATTTACAACTGTGCATAAAACCATACAGTTACTCATGTATGTGCATTGTGCAGTGCACACAAATATGGGTGGTTATGGAGGTGAAAATTTTACACTTGCTTCAAAGGCAAAAATGATGAAATTCACATGCACACACACTTTTCAGAGTAACCACACAATGTTTAGCCGCCTTTGAAGCAAGTGTACAATTTTCACCTTTTTCCCAATCCTTTTTTTCCGTTACGCCTCCTTTTCCAACCCTACGCATACACTGTGCCTAAGAAGTGCAGAAGGGGGGAAGCTTAGTGTTTCCATTCCTCTTTGAGCTTATTGTGATATTTATAACTTGTGAAATCGATATGAAACAAAGTATTAAGACTTTAGATTTCCCTCAGGTTTAATGTATTGATAGTAAGTAATGTTTCTTTTTTTTCTCACTCACTTTCCATCTGTTTTGACTATCATTTATTTGCCGGTTTTAACTGGTTTTGTCAACTTTTCTTGCCACGAAAATAGCCCTAGATGGCATAAATCAAGCAGATAAATAAAACCATGTAAGTCCCATCAGTACCCTTCAATTATATATTAAATATGGTCAGCTAATGTCATGTATCTACCACATTTTACGATGTTAAATCTGTTCCTCAAAATTCGATTTTCCCTCAACATCAGCATAGAATATGAAGAAAAAAAAGTCTGCAGATTCCATTTGGCACTGATGTGGTGTTGATGTTTGGCTGCACATTGTGCACAACAAGCACATTCAACTCTGAAAGAGCCCTGAAAACAGCAGGATATGATTCAGTTGGTTTGCTGGTCTATCAGCTCCCCCTAGTGTTTCTTCTGGAGACCCTGCTGAAGTCTGTAAGTGTGAATTATGGGTGTCACAAAGGACAAAGAACACCACAAATAAAACATGTGATTGATAGCATTTGCTGTCCAATTACAGGAGCTGCAGAAAGGCCTGCGTGAGGAGAAGGAGGAGGCTCAAGCCAGAGTGAGACAACTTGAACAGGACCTGCTAGAAATCACGCAAAAATCTGTTCTTAAAGAAACCGAACTGGACTGGTAAGACCCATACACACTTTACCTGACATGAATATAATTCTATTATTTACATATGTACCGTGGGGTCCAAAAGTCTGAGACAACTAGTTCAAATGCTTTTATTGTGTAGTTATTTAAATACATTTTATTTATTTTAAATTATTTTTTCAGCATAACAATATGAGGTCAATTGAAAAAAGGTTCATTAAAAAAGGAAAAGTACATTTCAAAATATTAGCATTTGATTTGTCATCCTTTTGGACTCTCAGGATTAGAATGCATATGTATAGTAGAGGATTAATATGCTGTATTTAGTTTTTTGTGTTGTCCAGTTTAAAAGACAAGCTGCAGAAGGTGATTTCTGAGCTGGACAGTCTACAAATTCAACTGAAGAATGAGAGAGACGAGAGGGAGCTTTACAAAGTAAGTGTGTGTTGTATCTACAGGTTTTAAAGTGCAATCATATTCATTGATCAGTCGTGTGATGTGCATTGATCTATATTGTGTGTGCACGCTTACAGTCCCACGTGCGCAGTGCCGAGCTGGAAAACACTAAACTCAGTGCAGAGCTGCAGATGCTGAAGGCAGTGGAGCTGAACAGGGAGGTCACCATCGCACAGTACCAGGATGAACTACACAGACTACGCACAGAGAGAGACACACATCCCACTGATGCCGTAATAGACGTTTATTTAAAGAATATATACAAACACAATAAATATATTCTACCAGTCAAAATTTTGGAATAAAAACATTTTTGTTTTTGAAAGAAGATTCTTATGCTCACCAATAGCTGCATTTATTTGATGAAAAATACAGTAAATAAAAATAACAGAAATATTGTTGCAATTTAAAATAACTGTTTTCTATTTTAATATATTTTAAAATGTAATTGATTCCTGTAATGCATTGTGCACATCTCCAGGGCCTGAAAGAGCATTTGCGTCAAGCTGAGGAGCAGCTCCAGGCCACGCGGCAGCAGGCAGCCATGTTGGGTTCTGAGTTACGTGATGCCTCCGGCGGGCGAGATCGCACCATGGCTGAGCTGTACCGTGCCCGTCAGGAGGCTGAAAGCCTACGAGCCCATTTAGCTGAAGCCCAGGAAGAATGCAGACATGCTCAGAATCAGCTTGACAGGATGAGAAGCCAGGCATCACAGGAAGTGGTAACCACAACTAACTGTCCCTTATGTTTATTTGATTGTGAAGATCGATTTATAACAATATGAAGAACACGTGGTTTAGACACAATGTTTAGACAGTGTGAACTGTGAGATATCTCTCTTTCTCTTTCTTGCGTTCGTGCTTTATTTTTATTTTTTTTACATTTCAGGGCAGGGCTGGAGGTGGAGTGGGTGTGGTTTCAGAGCTGGAGGCGGAGCTACAAAAGGAGGTTGAGGAACTAAAGCTGCGTCTGAATATGGCTGCAGAGCACTACAAAGAGAAATACAGAGAGTGCCAACGTTTGCAAAGACAAGTCACCAAACTGACCCAGCAACAGGGGGTGAGTAACCGAAATTATGGCTTTACCCAGTTGTAAACTTTACAAAAATGTAACCATAAAGCTTTTACTCTTACAGTGTTGCACTTAATTTTGCACATAAGATGTTAATTTTACATTTTGTCTTTATGTATGTTAGTTGAGGTTTATATGTGAAGTCTGTTGTGAAAACACCCTCCTATATTGATCTTTTGTGTGAAATCTTAAAATATTACATTATGTTTTAGGACTGTAATAGGAATGATGCCTCTACAGAGACCACAAAGGAGTTACACACACCAGATGCAGAGACGCCTCCCACAGGTATCGGAGAAAAATGAATCTAAATACATTTAAACTCCAGCACATATAGTCAAACTATTTCCTATAAAATCGAACATAAAGTAAAAGTTAAAGGGGTCATAGGATGCTACATGCACTTTTACAAGTTGTTTGAACTGAAATGTGTGTTGGCAGTGTGTGTACACAACCTAATGATAAAAATCCACCCAGTGTTTTTTTTTTAATCTGGTTAATTGTTCCCCCTTTTTTTAAAAGCGAGCCGATCTCAGATGCCTGTCTGTGTGACGTCACACAGACAGGCCCCTCCCACGATAGTTTGATTGACAGTAGCGTTTCAGCACAGACTGGACTGGCGTCTACCTTAGCTCCGCCCTGAGTGAGCTGTCATCAGTCCTCCGTTGTTTCACCGCCGGAGCAGATGTAGACAAGAATGACTCCTAAGCGATTGAGGTGTTCTGTTGTTGGATGTAATAATGAACATAGCAGTCGTCATTTACTCCCGACATCTGAGCCGCTGAACTCGCAGTGGATTACATTGCTTCTGAAGGGAATGCGCCCCCGATCTACATAAATGAGTCTATGTTCGAGCGAATCATTCATGATCCAGCCTCATCTACAGAAGAAGTGAATATAATGTTTTG